TATATCCCTTAACGTTATTTTGTCAAACTTTTTTACAGCCTTCATATATTTTTAGTCTCTCTTTTCCTGATTTGCATTAAGAAATTCACCCTGTAGATTGCTTAGGTTATTGGTTACAGTAGCAGTTACTGTGAATCAATGGAGAGATGAAGTGGATCAAAACTGAATAAAGCAGATGTAAAGATTAGTTTTTGTATCAATGAAGTTATCCAGATGACCAAACCAATTTATGCTCTGAAGCAAAAGGAACATTTGTCCCTTCCCTCCCACTTTGATAATTAGATTTTATTTTGGCACTGGCACCAAGACAGTATTTTCCTGGTAAAGGGCAGCTAGCAAATTGAATGGATGAGAAAGATAAATAGGGCTCATGCACCTTTTTCCCCCAACACCTGTATGAGACTCATTTACAATTCTCTTGGCACCTGCTTCCTGTCTCTACACTAGCATGAGTCCTGGGAACAGAATTCTACATAAGCGTATATAAAGCTTTTTGAAATTGTGTACAAGGTGGCCTGATCAGCTATTTCACTGGATGTGTGGGATATTGGTAGAAGGCAATTAGTTATCCAGCCACACACAGCTGGGAAAGATCAAGGAAGCAAGAATTATGCTGACTTTAGTAAGGTGTTCTTAATGTTAGTATTAGGGATAAGTACAGAATCTCAGAAACTGCAAAGGGAATTTCCCTCAGTATTGAATTCAGTAAGGTGAAGACTCTCATAATGTTTTAAACAACTTCTTCCAAGTTTTCTTGCCATCTAGACTTAGTTGCCTTTTATGAAGTAAGCTACCAATGGACATCCCTTCTATATCTGTAACAGCCCTTCCATGACTCTCCCAGGCACCAATAGAAGTGAATACATGTAGCTCAGGGTTGAACTCTGAAGTCCATGGGGTTCTCTGAGCTTGGTTGTTTTCTTGCAAACGTTTCGTTACCTGGCTAGGTAATATCTTGAAAACAACCAAGCTCAGAGAACCCCAAGGACTCTCCCAGGCACATTAGGTGACTCAAACTGCTTATCATACAGCTGCTCTAGCAACTGGAAATGTACCATGTCAAGAGGATGGGAAAAGCCAGAAGGTTCAGTGTCCTCTCAACCACCATGTGAACAGATGTTTCGCTTTTCCTAGGGCTGATAATGGATAAAAGGAAGAAAAAGCAAGAAGGGGGAATCTCTGCTAGGAAAGGATGGTGGGGCTATAACAGGTGGCAGCACCCTCAGCTGCTACTTTGTTTTGGTCTTCACCCAATCAGAAACTGAGTCCAAATGGACCTAAGGAGAATATTTGACAGCTGAAGGGAGTGACAGCCTAAAGTAAATAAAGAAATTAGGTTAGAGAGCATCTGGGCATCATGAGTAACGTTAAGTCTTCAGGACCAGACCAATTACATGCATAATGCTGAGGGGGTGGGGAAGGGGGGATGAATCTTTAGTTCATTCCCATGATTTCTTTGTGTATCGGAGGGGAGACCAAGTCTAACATGGAAGTAATATAGATAGCCAAAGAGATTACCATGAAGAAACTATGTACAAAAACATGCATTAAGTCCAGGAAATGAGGAAAGCATAAAAAAGAAACTAAGACTGGCTCCACCCTAACACCCTAGAGTATAAGAGGGATGGAAGAGAAAAAACAGTCAGACTTTCAAGATTCTGTGGCCATAGCCTCTATTAATAAAGTATAGTTCCAATCATAGAGCCAGATTCCTGATCTGGATGATGAGGAACTAACAGCTCCTTTTCCCTGCCCATGTTGGCATCACAACCATATTTGAATATGGCTCTTAGTCACAAATTGTGTCCTCAGCTACTACACTGTTGTCCAGTAGTGTTGGAAGTGGTTTCATAAAAGCCACTAAAATATAGAAGGTCAAATTGTTCCTATCGTCCATGTACTTGATATTTAGATAGTTCCTAAGCTTGTCTTCATTGTCTGTCCCTTCATCCATCGGGAACAGAGCATTCTAACCACTCCATATATACTATTTAATTGATTATGCAAGAATATTCCAACCCCAGGATAATTTTCCATAACTCTGAAGCCATGGACATTTATTTGTCCATTTAAAAGATGCAATATAACTTTTTTAAAAAATGGATAGGGATTTCTACATCATTGTGAATTAATTTTGTGTTCCATTTTATTTTATTTCTTCTTCAGGGCTATTGAGATGGCTGTATGAACATTTTCGATTGCTTGTCCTTCCCATATATGGAGGGTTTCCAGTCAAACTCCGCACCTATATTGGAGAACCCATCCCATATGACCCAGATATAACTGCTAAGGAGCTGGCTGAAAAAGTAAGGACATGTTTCACTCAAAGCAATCTTTTAAATATATTGGCTTTTTCTGCAGAACGTGCTTTAGTTTTGAGATATACATAGAGCTGGTGCTTATTTTATATATTAAACATAACATGAATTTACCAATTCCTTCTCTCATTGAAATTGTTATTACTAATCATGAAATCAGGAAAAAATAATCTAAGGCAAAAAATCTGAATAGTTGATACATGTTGTACACTTATTTAATACAAATAAAGTCATAGTCTACTTATGATTAAGAAAAGGCAGCTCTAAAATATAAGAAGTTCTGAATGTGCGTGTGCCTGTTGGGCTACTTATACATACAGGGAAATCAATCCAAGTCCACTTTGGATTTACGCAGATGGAGGAATAATCTAGGAAAATAATTTATTATAAAATTATCTAGTTCTCATAAGTTTCTTTACCTCTCTCCTGTCCTCATGGCTTTCCTTTCAAAAAATGCACATCCAAAAGGGGTGGACCATGGATCACAATAATGCAATGCTTCCTTCATCATTTCCCTCCGTTCACCCCTCCCTACCCCCAATACCTCTGCTAAGTGTGTTTCCACCATAATGTCTACTGAATATAGGTACTTGGATATTTATGTCTGCTGAAATATGAATGGTACCAGTTGATGGAAAAGGGTAAATGTTACCTCTATCTTAAAAAAGGAAGGAATAGGAAGACCTGGGTAGATCTGAGAAAGCTCTAAGGCAGACCTTAAAGTTATAAATCTCAGAAACTTGGAAGTATTGCAGCGATTACTAGAAGTCAATATGGAGTTTTCAAGAAGAAGTCTTCTCAGATTAACATTATCCTATTTTATGGGTAGTCAGTTTCCTGGGAACATATGGAAATTTTATGGATGTAATATGTCTTGCTCTCAGAAGACAAAATAAGCCATGACATTATCAAACCAATGAAGCATGGATTAGATTAGGTGAATCCACACTGGCATGAAAACCTTTCTAAAGAAACACTCATGTTTCTTCATGAATCTGTTGAATGGGGTGTTGCAGGATTTGGTCTCGGGCTTGGGCACTTTAAGTGTTTTTATTAATGACTAAGATTATAATGTGAAGAAATGGTTATCACATTTACAAACAACACACAGTTATATAGGAAGAACAGAAAGGATGGTCAGGAAACTGGCATCTTAAATCCTATGAGGTATGTTGATCCTTGAGAAGTCAGAGGAAATACCACACTAAGTTTTAAAGGAATGTCACACACAAGAAGGCCATACTAATTCTCTCCAGTCCCAGAACAGAGCAATGAAGCTAAGTTACAGGAAGGCCAGTTCTGGTGAAATAATACACAATCCTTTTTAAAAGTAAATGCAGGTCAACAGGGCAATCAGTTGTCTGAAAGGGCTTTCAGCGCAACCTCACAGGTTGGGATGGCAGAAGGCAAGGCCCCTGACTGCTGCTCCCACTGTGAGCTTCATCTTGATTTGCAACATTTAAACAGGCCTCCCAGACCTCTGCAGCTGAGAATATATTCACTGAATAGTGTGTCTTGATGAGATGATCTTCTTCCATTACCAATACATCTGTGACTTTAACTTGATACTGCTGTCCTCTTCTGTATTTGACAGACAAAGATTGCCATTGAAAATCTTCGAGACAAATACCAGAAAAGACCTGGAAATATATTAAGAGCTTTATTGGAGCGATTTGATAAAAAAGATAAAGATGCCTAGTCTTTACATATGTTGTGATAGATTAATACATTTTCCTGTCATAATCCATATCCATATGTACATCCTAAGTGCAATGTTTTAAATCTTTTGAAATGTATAATTTGCTTTTTTAGACTATGCAGTGAAGAATGTTATATAACTTTCTGAAATATTGTATCAGAATGATAACTATAGATATTATTTCCATGCTGTAAATAAAATTATGATCAAATTTCTCTCACACATACAAAAACCTATCCATAGCATATTGCCAGAATAAGTAGGCCTGTGTGGATTGCACTCAATCTGCATAGAAATGCATCATGTTGTGGCATTGAGGCCCCCTGCTTTCTCCCAGCATGGAAGCCACCATGAGCACGAAGATAATTCATTTTCATGGGCTTGAAGCAAAATGGAGAAGTCACTCTGCTCTATATTTAGAAGCAGGATGCCTAATTTACCTTATAGCATTATTTCAGAAGGGCACATGGATTAAGTTTTGATTGAAATGTTTCCTCCTTCTGAAAATTTGTACAATCTTGGAAATGTCTAAACTTTTGTGGAAGCATTATTTTCCAAAAACATTCCAGTTTCAACATGTAGTTCTAAAATGCAAAAACCTGGACTATATAAATCAAGATAAAGTGTAAATACATTGTTTAAACTTGTATGCTAGAATAGAATTACAAATCAGAGCCCCTGCACCTATAGTTCACCCTGGTCAATCAGATCAAGATTGGGTTCTGATGGGTGCATCTAGGCATGCATTCAGGAGGTCCTGCTTTCCAAATCTCTTGACTGAGATGTCTCTGATAATATTAAGTTTCTAACAATGATTGGATGGATTGGGCAATCTGTATGGTTTTAATTGTTCTTTTTCATTATGAAGGACTATAGGTGTGTTATCTTCAATTCTTCAGACTTCAAAGTAATTCTGTAACATACTGTCCCTTGAACCTTTCCATACATTTAACTCACATGCCAATTTTTATTCTTACAACTTTATAGTTCTCATGTGAATAGGGAATGAATTCCTCAAAACAATATTGAGGTCAGACTTTGGCGCCACAGAACAAGGTTTTCTGGTCCTCTTAAAGGAATCTTTCATTCAAGTAATGGCTCCAGACAATCCTTTCTAGTTCTGTCAGGTTTCAATTCTGACAGGTTCTGTCTTCTAGGAGATTTATTTCCTCATCTTTCAAGAGTAAGTTTTAGCCAGGCTTCATTTGATAAGAACTTGATATGCCCTATCCTTGTCTCACGTTGTTTGCTCACACAGTGTTAAGAAGTGGAAAGACTAACACAGAGCGTAGTACAGTACCTCCCCCAGGTTCTACCTACTACAGTGGAAGTGCAGCCATTGATGATAAAAAGAAGGGCATGTTCATGTTTCGTATCATCACTGTGATCCAGCATTAGCTGAAGAAATGGCAAGGAGAAAAAGGAAGCAATAACCAGCACATCTTGCCTTTCCCTCCAAGCAATAACCAGCACACCTTGCCTTCTCGTCCAGGGTAGCTGCAGTTCTGCAACTGTTGTAGGTAAGGGGGGGGATCTTTAGACTCAGAAATATCCCCTAAGCAATGGCCAGCTGGTTAATTAAAAACCCACACATTCTGCACATACAACAATCTCCTTTAACTAAGAGTTTTTATTGCTAACACACAGAAAGCATACCTAATCAAAAATAGTGAAGTAATATTGAGTGGAAATGGCAAAAATAGCAAAAGAAAAATCAACAAATACAATTCTGTGGAGGCTGTCTTTTGCTGATAGGCAATCTTTGGCACAAAAAACAACAATCAGACAGGAAAGGAGAAAATGCAAGCACACAGCCTGAAGGGATTGGGGTGAAAGTATAGGGAGGCTCCAATGCAGACAAACTATGACTTTTTCTGATCATTAATTTGGAGAATAGCTGGAGGACCAAGAGCAGCTGAAGCAGTGGGTTTGGTTTAAGCCATAACACTATTAAGCTTCAGCATGCAAAGTTCTGTTTTCCCTTTTCTTCTGCTTCCTTGTTAAAATCACATTGCTATAACACACCTTGGCCCTGTGGCCCTACACATTCCTTCCCTCAGTTTGACCTTCGTAGCCCTGCTTCCTGCTCCTGGTAAGAGACACAAAAGATAGGAGGACACAGCTGGAGCTGCTCCTACCAGCTTGCTAGAGCCAATTGTTAAATTTTCAGGAATTTTGTGAGCAAGTTGTTCAATATTTACCACTGGCCCTAACCCAGGACAGCACAGCAGGTGGGAAAGTTGGGATCTGAGAAGCTTTCCCTTCCCTCATCCTCCAAGATGGAGAGACACAAAAGCTCTTCCAACTCAGAAGAGAGAAGAGTTTTTTCCCCGGGGCTGGAGCAACAGATCCAGAAAAGAGAAAGTAAAGAAGCCCAGCAGGGAAATAAACCAACTGAAAAGGTGCAAGAACTCCATACTGCTGGCCGTAGGAGGAAAAGTAAAGGGAGGGAGGGAGCAGAAATAGGAGAAGAAAACTAGAGAGAGAGAAGACAGGCTGAACTTTGTAAGAACAAAGAAGAGAATAGCAACAGGGGCATTTACAGAAATAAAGGGTGGAGATATAAAGTGCTATATAGTGATCAAGGACTTTAGAGGTACAGCATAGATAGAGGACTTCTAGAAAATAAAGGGTTGAAATAGAATAGTGAAAGCAATAGGAATAAGGCATAGATATAGCTAGGAGTAAGACATTCATTTCTGAAATAGTTGAAGATGGCCTTATTTTATAAATGTAAGATATCCTTGTTTCACAAAACAAACCCTCCCCCAGTCTGGGAGATACAGAAACCAACCAACTCTCCCAGTCTGCAGTATTTCTGTGTCTTTAATGAGTCTGGGTCAATCTGATCATTTGTGGTTCAAAAAGAACCCATGATAGACTTACAGGGTAAGTCAGCCTTCCCTGGTTTTCTTTTTGCATTCCTATGAATTCATGACCTGTGTTTGAGGTTTAATCCTGTCAGCCATCCCTGCACTTTTGTGAGTTTAACTGTAGAATTTCAGAAGGCAAGAGGCAGGAGGAACCTTGTGACTAGAGGGACTGCGCTTGTACCTTAGAAATCTCAATAAAAGTCAGGGCAGACATAGGCATGGGACAAGAGCAATAGCTTAGTGGGTGAGCTCTTTTGCTTGGATGAAATGGGGATTAGCAACAGTCAGGAACCTACCTGAATAGCAAATTTTACACAAGGGGATCTGAAACTGCAGTTTCCCATTCTGGGGAGTTTTGAGTCACAAAGATGAGATAATCTTGACGGACAATTAAATTTGCTGCAGGGCAAGAAGAAGAAACTACAGGAAGGCTTTAACTTGTAGAAAGATGAAGTAGAGCCAAGACACCATGAATCAGTTATAGCTAGCCTTCAGGGCAACAAAAAAAAAAGTTGGAAGACCAATTAAAAAAAGCAAAAAGAGAAGCCATAGCTCCAACCACACCATTGCCTCATTAAACTTAAAAGTGTGTCATGTCTATAGCCGTTACGCTGTGAATAACACAAAAAATTGTGGAACTAATCCTCCAGTAATCGAAAACTGTTATCCAAAGAAGTTGCTTATGTCACTGATGAACAAGTGAAGTTCCACATACGTCTTCACTGTTTCACTTTTTTCTTACTCATTGAGGAAAAAAAAATCAACCAACATTCATGTTGGAACTACATTTGTTCATCAATCAGATAGTAATCGAACATTTATTCATAGTCTAATTTTGTGACACTACTGTTGGCAATAGAATTTTTAAAACTGAGTGGATTTGTAAGAAATAGCAACCAACATGAAAATCAAGGAAACTATTTTCACTTAAAATGTATGTTCATGCCTACAGAAAACAAGGAGAGGAGAACTACATCGCCAGAGTAGAGTAGAATTGGGAGATGTCTATCAGCCCTCACCCATTGTTCAAGCAGGAGTCACAAATCCTAGAATAAACTCAGATTGCAATCCAACTGTATGAGGGAGCAAAGCCCCATTAAAAGCTATAAGTGGAGCTTCTATGGATTCAGAAGGTATTCTGATCCACAGCCACTCTATCTTGTTAGGGTTCAGCCTAAATCTGTTCTTCTCTATCTAGATCCTAGTCACTTCCAGGCAGTTTGTCAGAGCTCTATAGCACTCCATAATGAACCATTAGAGGACTCCCGCAAACTTGATTAGATCATGGGCCCTGAAGGGTATCATGGCCCAGGACTCAGATTCTGATGAAGCTACTCCAGCTGAACCAGTGGAATGTCAGCTTCAGGAGACACCAAGTCTGGAATCACCGAGGCTGACCAAACGCAGGCACCATCAGAACAGATGGAGCAGGATGATGATGAGATACAGCCCCCAAGCCCTTGGACTCGGTGAGTAGAGCAAAGAGCAGAGCAAAGATGCTCAGTGAGGCTCCTTCCAAGCAAAGGAGTAACTGTCTTAATTAAAGATAGCTGGCTGCAGCTTTAAGAGGCAGTCCTGACTCATGTTCCTCAGTTGGAAACAACCATCTGATCTCATGGTCTGGTGTGTTATTTAGAGCAAAGAGCAGAGCAAAGATGCTCAGTGAGGCTCCTTCCAAGCAAAGGAGTAACTGTCTTAATTAAAGATAGCTGGCTGCAGCCTGATTTAAGAGGCAGTCCTGACTCATGTTCCTCAGTTGGAAACAACCATCTGATCTCATGGTCTGGTGTGTTATTTAGAGCAAAGAGCAGAGCAAAGATGCTCAGTGAGGCTCCTTCCAAGCAAAGGAGTAACTGTCTTAATTAAAGATAGCTGGCTGCAGCCTGATTTAAGAGGCAGTCCTGACTCATGTTCCTCAGTTGGAAACAACCATCTGATCTCATGGTCTGGTGTGTTATTCCTATGTATTCTGCTCATGTAAAAAAAAACAAACCTGAAACTCTGACCTTTGGATTGACTGACAAACCTGGCTTGGCTCTCTAAACTTTGTTTTTTTAATGTATATATAATAATTTTATTAAGCATTACAATTAAGATAAAAACTAATGCAAACTAAAAGAAAAGAAA